GCTCGTATCAAGACCGATATAGCGATGTTTGGTGTTAGGAGGGGGCAATGTACATAGTTGTCAAACACATCTAACTAATCTTTTCAATGAAATTGAATTAAAATGGAACCGTATTAAAACAATATCTGCGACATATAAAGATTATCTGCTACTTACATGAATCTTTCTTCTGGACTTGTGATCATGTGCTCCATAAGAGTTCAGCACATGCTAATGTATAACAAAGATGCAATATCCAGAATATTACATTACATATGGCCAATCATAACGATGACATTGCTATAGTTTCTCTTCTAATGTATCTCTTTTCTTTATTTGAATATCCCATTTTGAAAATAATAATAAAATAATTGGCAGTTCAGCCAAGACGTTTAGTACATACAACACGCGATTTTATGTGCTGAAATAATTTACTCTGGTCACATTGCTGTCGTAAATCTTTGGACAGAATGTTCCTTCATATATTAAACTGTAAACAAGTGTGCTAATGAACCCACATTTATATGCAAGGCAAGGCCTGACTAAATTGCCAGTGCTAATTAAATAGATTATAAATGGTAGCCTTGAATATCTATATATCAATAAGATGGAACCATTCGTTTATTCACCATGACTTTGTGATTGTCTTATATGGAATTGGCGAATTCTGACATTTTGACATTATTTGCAATTTTACATATTTGTAAGGCACAATATCGACCACCGCAAGTTGAGTTATAAATATATATTTTTGACGTCACAGATAACGAGCCACGTCATATAGATGACTTTCTCACTACAGCAGGAAGTCAGGTCAATACCTCTGTGGTAAACAATTACTGAGCGGTTTTACAATGTAAAAGATTACAGTGATTCGATCTACATAGACCTTTGATCTATGCAATAACATTTACGTTTAGACGTGAAGGGAAAAGACAATGATGTACAGGCATTTACTAGTAGCATATAAACTAGTACGAGCACGTTACCGCATGTCAATTTTAACATCTTGAAAACGCAACACGATGTAATCGGAAATCCAAGTGAATGTTATTTTATTTCACAATAGTCTTCAGTTCTGTTTTATCAAAGGCGACAGAGTGCATCCGTTATCCGCCCGTCGTCAAGCAACAATTACATTTTACTTCTTCTTGACACCTAGTATATAGTTACATTTGGTAAACCTCTATCTAATTTGTTAACTTCGTGATGATATACTTATCAATAAATTAAACGGATAATATATTAAATAATAGACAACACCATACTTAGATGAAGATTGGTATTCACATGCCTTTAAAATCTGTAAATATATCATTTGATTCTATCATCTAAACAAATACAGCTGCAGGACTTTAATTTGCCCTCTGGCATGAACTGTGAAAACAATTACATATGTAAATGTTTTCGGCTTAAAATAACATTAAACATTAAAAAAAATCTCTGATATGTGAGTAGCAATTAATTTCACTTCATAATTGCTCATTATTTTATATTTACACATTGCATTACAGAACATTACGCATGCAGAATATAAATGTCTATGACGACAATATTGAAACGCCTATAGTGAGATTTGTTAAAGGTGAATAAACTCACTCTTGCTAAACTCATTTTCTGATTCATCTATTTAATGTGTATGCGCTGCAGATTCATTGAAAAACTGGGCACGATATTACAGTCACATCACGCCTACGCACCCACAAACAAAAAAGGCAAGAACACTATTAGCCCGTGACGTCATTCGTATCTACCAGCACTACGATTAAGTGATATCATCATTATATTTTAATTTGATGATAATCCGACGAAACGAAAACCACTCACATTCATCGTGCCAATATACGCGGACTGCACTGTCATGTGTTCATGTCATGTTATTACATTATTTCGTAAATCCGCATCCAGCACCATTAATGAGCATTCGCGACTTAACTAAACTGTAGTGCCGATTGTTGAAGGTATAATCAGTAGACACATCTGTATAAACGTGGCAATATTCTGATCCTAACAATAACTGCGAAACGCAATTATAGAAATGAAAGGTGTTTTTGATATTCTATGCTATTTCCCATTTTCACACTTTCAATGTCTCGGTGTGTTTATCGCATTTCACTTTTGCCACGCATGCTGTGATTGGTTGGAAGTCAGTCATATGACATTGAATAGACTAAAGGCAATGAACGAACACAATATCGGAGTAAACTAACACACACAAACAATTCATACAACATCGTTGTGCTTATTCAGATTCTTGGCAAAAAGTCATGTACAAACAATCAATACAGCTTCCATGATTTGATTACATAAGACATAGCTAATAAAGGTAGTGAATAAATACAACGTATAAATACCTTAGTAATTTTTGTTCGTATAGTTCGCTTCGCGTCGGTGTACACGTTTGTCTGAATTAACCAATTAATCTTATAATACACGCTGATTACGGCATTTGTTTGTATTCATTACTTATTAAATAAATTATTTAATACATGCCATATGATTCTTGTTTATAATATTAAACAACATTTAAAAGGTTATATGCAAATACACCCCAAAACCGAGAGGATGTTTCAATTTCATTAAAAGAAAATCAGATGTTTATTGTATATAGTGAACGTCGACATCATCATTACCTTCCTTAACTATTTTATGAATTCCTACCTTCAGTTCTGTTTACCATACCCTTACTTATTCCAACCTCACGTTAGCCACGATATCATTACCAACGTAGTAGTTTGAGGTATGATAACCCAAAATTGTACTACTAACTGTAATTATTTGAAAATTTTAAAAAATAATGAGGCTTTACATGATATAATTATTTGCTGTTCGTTCAATATAAGTAAACATTATTTATATCATACTGAGTTATATGTGAAACGATGTTAATGGCAATTAAAATTATTACACATTAGGTTTTGTCAATATGTATTTCCCAGTTTATTGAACTTTTGGTCATAATATATAGAAAGTCTACGAACATTGTAAACACGTTTACAGGTAATTTTAAAAGAAGAATATGTTTCTAGATAGCTCTATCTATCTCCCGCTAAGAAAGTAGGGTAGATGCAATATTCATAACTATTGACTTAAAGTTTTGACTGCTCACTGCTTGCTGCTTAAGTTGTCTACAATTACAAGTAAATCTATACCAAACAATATGCAGGAAAAAACGTGGGAAATATTAAAAAAAAAATTGTTTATATAGCCAGAGAACTAGAAATTATGATACCCAAACCATCTTGGTATTATTAGTACGTAAATGGTAAGTTCGAGTATCATTTACTTCTAAACAACTTCGAATTCTATAAATTACAATAGAACGTCAGAGCCTACTGTCTTCAACGGTAGGCGTTCATATTAGACTGTAAGTCTGTGCCAAAAGTGTTTTTAACACGGCATCCTATATTATGTAACCTAGTTAGTATGATAGCACTATTGTATCAGTTCTTAATAATGTGTAAAACCGCGTAGCATCCAAATCTTTAAATAGGCTGAAAACGAAATACCATGTGTATATAGGTGGTAAAATCCATTCACATATATCACAGAGTACTCACTCTACGTAATAATAACAAGCTATCAATATCACTGATGCAGACTGAATCGGTGGGGTTGATGAGACAAATTTTAATTTTCGAAACAATATGATGTGCACATGCAGGCCTGACAACCTGATTGTCTAATATTATCTCACATAAGCTTGTAATTGGTGACCCACAACTAATCGTTTGCAATATATTCGTCAAAATACTGACACCTTTCAACTAAGCTTTAATCAATACACGCAGTATGTCCTGTCACCACAGTGGGCGCTGCACTACTGCAGCGTCCTCGGGTGACACAATTGTACGGGACATACGTATATCTTGTGGTAACTGTCACATAATGAATGTTTTTTATCGCCGATTATCATATACATACTCGGCACAGATGAAATCAAATTTCAAAACTGACATTAATGACTATGACCAGGTGCGAGTATGAGACTTAATCCTGTTTATGATGATAAGTATTGAACCAAGCTCAGGATGTAGATGTTCAAGAAATTTACTGAGGCTGATATAAATTATCTAACAGGGACATTTTAAGCCGCAGTGTAATTTATTTTCACAGGCAGGATTCATTTTGAATTATTGAAGAGTCTCGCCAACTAAATGTTAAATGTAAATGTTCAGGTTACATGCAATAAAGTACCTGACAATTCAATTTGAGTGTTTGTAACCGTGTAAAACATATTATTTATATGCTTCAATTGAACGTGTACCATGATAATATTGATATTACATGATCACTTTACATTGTACTAGGGAACATTTACTCCATTACTGACATCCTGTATCATAAAAGTGTTAAACGTTTGTCTACTCACCAATACTAGTATTGTAATGACATCTTGATGCATATAAGCAAGTAATCATATCTCAACAGTGAAAGCGGAAGCCGGCTGGCTATTTATCAAACGATCTGATCTTATTTGGTGAATGAAACTATTGAGATAAAAGATCTGGTTTCTAAAGAACAACCTTTTTTGTCTTAGATATTTGATACCATTTTGAACATGCATCTATGTTGCATTTTGTGATAGAGCAGTTATTGTGAATATATGTATGCTAAAATTGTCTTTAATAGTTTATTAAAAGTAATTATATTTTGACACTGGTCTACACGAATTGTGCATTATGTTTCTGTATTTACTGCAATCACTTAACACATTCAAGATCGATGAATAACACATCATCTTTAACGTTTACACTCAAAACAAAAATATGATTATTTCGCAGATTGTGCTGGTAAAGTGAATTATTCATGGTTATATCAATACCATGTAGCTAGAAGGCACTGTTGCTTATTAATGCAGTTTGTAATTGCTGCGATGGCACATTTTTGTAAAAGTACGTTATGGTCAAAAATAGATACCCTTTGCATATGATGTCACAACCATATAATCAATAGTGTATTAGTAAATGTTATTCCAACTCATAAGTATTATATTACTACTTCGATGATGTATGGAACGTCTACAATATCGTACACGACACAGATTTTTGTGGTATGACAGTGGAACCTGATTTGCTGTGTGTGGCAGAGCCAGACACGTTATTCCGTGTTGGCGGTGGGGGCATGCGTTTGTTGATAGGGGAGGGTGACGCTTTAGGCGTCTTCTCTTTCTCACTTCTCGCTATAGTCGGAATTGAATATTTGTTTGGGGGTTCATTTTTTTCTGTAAACAAATCTGCTTGTGGTTCATGACGTTCCATCCCACAAATGTCGATCCGTTGTTTCAAGTCGTCAAATTTATCATTGCAGAATTTCTTACTTTCTTCGTCTCTAAAGTCAATGTACTCCAATTGGGCAAACGGCATACTCATTAGACCCTCTGGAGGCCACTCCATACTCTCTAATAATATTGGTATGATTGGTTTCTTCAGTGCATCTGCTAAGCTCACCTCACGTCGACAGTTTGCTGACAGTGAATATTTCGGTGTACAACATGATATCAAGACCTGCAAGTATGAGGCAATAAATTATGTCATTGTGTATGTATGAACTTCATTTCCAGAGTTGGATTTGCATATTTAAGCATAATCAAAATATTAAAAAAATTATAATTATTATTTACACCTGCCTTTGCTGTTGTGATTGCATTTTCAATTTTTCCATACAAGGGGTCAGCGCCTTCGGTGTGTATGACGTCTACCCAGCACGCATACCCCAGCGATGTAAGATTGGAATACAGTGTATTTATTGACTTCTGTTGATCACAATGGTAAGAAATAAAAACGTCCGGGATCTCATGATTCTATTGGAAGAAAATATATTGTTAAATTACACATGCTCGAGGGGAACCGTTAGGGGGGTTACCGTATTTGTTTACCGATTATGGTCATTAAACACGTACCGCTGGCTTTTCAGATGGTCTAGCGTCTTCCTCTTTCTTCATTAGTTCTATAATTGAGCTCTTGTGCTCTGGAAAACAATCGTAAGATGAATTGGTTAGTGAAATATAAAACAAAAAGCTGAAAATAAAAAGAAACGACAAATAACGGGCAAAATAGTTGCGTCGGACCAACTGTTCTCTTCATATTCACGCATTTTGCACCCCCACATATTTATATAGAACACTCTGTTCTCACCTGGTACTGCGTGATAGCGGATTTGTCTCAATAATTCAGTAAATGAAGTATCCGTCCAAAATTTCTCT